GTCTGTAAAAACGAGTTAACTAAATATTTAGTTTTATTCGGCGTTTTTAAATAGCGGTATGTTAGCTCCCATTTTTCGCCAATACTTCTGTCGAGATTTTTTTCATCATAACTCTTGATTTATAATACTATGACAGATTCAGATGAAAGTTTCAGTGATAAATTATCCGAATTCGTTCTACCTGATATATGGAACAATGAAGATGAGATATACCGTCTTTTTCAACGAATTAAGAGGCCCCGACATATAGATCCACTAAATTTTGAGAGAACCTACTCCTTCTGGCGAACAATTATTCTTCGTTATGCAAAAATTAACAGGGTGTTTGTCTTCACCCCTGCATCCTTAACAAAGGTTTTTTCTAGGTATTTTCCTGAAGAAGAGATCACTCTATCACCCGAATGTTTGCCACAGGTTCTTGGTCTTATGTATCAAAATGGAGATATCGTTCCCAACAGTTCTGAGGCATCTCTTTTTAAACGAATTGCCATATTTGGCATTAATTTAATGTATCAATTGCCCTCACGTGCCTTTAAAATAATATCTAATTCAAGGTGATTTACAATTTTTATGTTTAGCTTATAGCACTGAAAAGTTCGATGTATCATGCATAAATGAAATTGATCCAATAACTCAGTTTGTAATACCCGAAATTGCAAATTCTCTTGTCTCCCATTTCGTTCCGTGGTTTAACAAAGCGTATACGACCTACAAACTGTCCTCCAATCTGTCACTTTTCTTTGTCAAAGATCTGGATAACTCTTTAGAAAGTTGTTTCCCTCATAAAACTTCAAGAGACTTTATTAAACACTTGCTCTTTAATGTATATAAATGCGCACGTATCGAAAGGGTCAAATCTAAGTTTTGTTCTTCAACTTTTGAGGTAAGTTAGTGTTATTCGTGATGTGTTTTTTTTCGGGTCTTTACTTGTATTCCTTTGTGATGCTTAATCAAGCTAGTGCGCTTGTCAAATTGCCTTTCAATTGAAGTCTCGGAGGCCCTTTCAGAAGATGAACGTATGCTTTTATCGGGTTTGGCCCTAATTCGACAATTAACCGAACGCCTGCAGGCTGATGAAGAAAGACTCGTACTTAGGACTTCTGAGCGCCGCCAGGAAATCAAGCAACTTCTTAATCAGAAAAAGTAGGACTCGTCTAATATACGATATTCAC